GCCCCAACCCACAAAAAAAAACAACAACAAAACTTGTCAATACTCAAACCGCTGCAGCGTATAATTAAAAAAACAGGCCAAGTCATCCCATTTGCCCAGGGCTTTTATTACCTATGATTAACTGGCTAATAAAATAAAATAGAACAACATGAAAAAAGAGTCTAATAATACAGCAGACCTGTCAACCTTGAAGAAAAATGATGCCTAGACCCACATTATTGATCTGATAAAGTGTTCGAACATGTTCGAGTGCTGACCGGTGAAGGAGAGCAAAGCAAACAAACAGTATCTTAAGCTCTGTCCAGTTATCATTACCATTAACAAAAATTTCATTTGTATATTTCTGCCATTTTTGACCATTTTCTGTGAACCCAAAACATTCTCCGTTTAACTTGACAGAAAGTGAGGGCCCACTTCAGTGCATTACTATTATGAAATGGGGGATGGGAGTGTGGCTTCCAAAGGGGCGTGACTACGCAAATATCCATTGGCTCATCTGATGTTTTTACTATGAAAAAAGACAGTTCTTTTGGCATATTTTAGTTCTTTCCAGCATACGCCAATGTGAAAATGCAGAGCTCCTAAGCAAAATGCGCAAAGGTTGACAGTGGCTATTTACATATCTAGTTTTGGTATTTTCCTTCTCACTCCTCACCCTACCTCCACAGTTTGAGCACCTCTGCTTTAGGGGCTTTACAGACTAATTGTAATCGTTGCATAAGTTCTTATTGTCTTCTTTGTTTCTAATTAAAAATGCTCTATCTCTGTCATAAATAATCGCAAGTAGGGTGAACAATCCAGAATAACCCCTCAAAATGACCCCTGGTTGGGTCATAATGAACCAGTTTTTGGATAAAGATCTTCATATAACCCAACAATGTCAAGGACATATTAAGCCAAGGTGTGGTCTCTTGTATATTGAGCCAGCATTGGGTTAGAGAAATGTCATACATCGGGTTACAATTAACACAGAGTGGTAGTTGTCGTTCAAGATGGTTTCCTGCACGTCAATGAAAATGTCCTTGTGTCCTCATTTAGTTATCCTTGAATCTGCCTCTTACAAATAACTTTCGTATGTGCTAGTACAATCTGAACTTTAGTTTTGAGTGAGATCAAATGCTACCTCTTGATGAGAATTGAAAGATGCTATTGGTGCTCTTGTTGGGTGTCTGCTTCAATAGGATTGATAAAGAATGTCTGTCTGGTTTGTCTTTCTGACCACTCTGAAAAACCGGTGGCAGAAGTCGGCTCGATTCAAGCGGCAGTATCATGTTTTAAGTGTTCTGCTTTATAAAGCACTTACATTGCTCCAGTAATGAGCTCATGCTTTCAGGAGACACTTAGTATTATCTCTCAAGGCATTGAGATTGACAATCAGACTGTGTTTCCATTAGCCCATTGAAGAATCGGGAGGGATGGGGAGGATAGAAAGGTGAGAAAGAGAAAGTGAGACACAAGCATTAAGTTCGATAAAATAAAAGACTGTAACATAATAGGATTCTGTCACAGCAAATACAATGTTTATAGTGTGATTCACCAAATGCGCATGTCAGTGATACCTGCATCTCGTATGTCTTGTACTTGCAGGATGCTGAGTTACATGACCTAAGGGACACCATTGAGATATTGAAATCCAAGAACACAGAGGCCCAGGTTATCATCCATGGAGCACTCAACAACCCTGACTCCACACCCAAAGGTCTGGACCTTTTAATGCAAACACTGAAGTTTGAAGAAAGTGGCAAAAATGAATAAGTAGTGCTCCTGATACCAAAACAGTGGGCTCACTCTCCACCCTTTGTCACTGTCTCTCTCTTTCCAGAACTACAGATTAACAGGCAGAACTCCTCTGAGAGCATCGCCAGCATGAACAGTATCACCAGTCATTCCAGCTTGGGTAGCCTGAAGGAACAAGATGCCAAGAAGAAGAAGAAGAAAAGCTGGGTAAGATGATTGTTCCATAATCTGCTCTTTTGTACTTTTGGACAGAGGACAGTCAGGCCAAGTTTTTTTTTTCTAACCACAGCAGGTTTTCTTGGCCATATCTGTGATAATGTGGGCACATTAAAGTAATTGCTCTTTCCATTGGTTTATTGGTTTATCCGTCCACAAATTTCAATTCTTCTAAAAGACCCTTTTTTAAATCAAATTTTTCCCCTCGACCTCGCATTGTTATGCAGACGCACTTTGAATTACCTATTGTCTTAGGGTCACGTGACCATTCATTGCAAAATTACAGTTGGTTTGTACACAGAGACATAACCAGACAAATTATTTAAAATCTGTCTGTCATATACAGGTCTCAGTTGCCCTGAGCGAAAATGCAAGTCAGTTACAAGATGACGGGTCTGAATATACCACCATTTTCTTTGCTCAGTCAGGAATGTAAAAAGAATTGTAGAATTACTGGCCTTTTCATGTATCGTTTCTGCCAGGTTCTTTAATTATACTACTGTTGTTTCTTAACTTCAAGTTAATACATAGTACCAATTTTTCATAGTACTAGCTAGCACACAATAGTGCAGTTTTGGTATATGTGTGTTAACTTATACTTATCCTTAGCCTCCGCAAACTGAATTTTTCACTTTTTTCCATACTGAAACTAGAAAATGTAGCTGAAATAATGAAGCAACATTTGAACATGGTATCAATACACACGGCCTTTGTTCAGTGCATCGTTGTACATCACCGATGAATTAATGACTTCAATCTAGAAGACTATTTTAGAAAGCGATCAGTTTCTCCTCAGGTGACAAATTAAAGGAAAAACCAAAATAAATGATCTTAGTAAGGTGTTGGGCCACCATGAGCTACCAGAAGAGCTGCAATGCTGGACCTCGTTCTTCCAAAAGATTGTCTCTCATTTGGTGTTTTTAGATCTAGTGACCGCAAAGTTAGTAGCATATGATTTGCATCATTTTCATACTCGTCATTCACCATTCAGTGAGCCCTCATACCCTGTGGATGTGGGCATTGTAATCCTGGAATAAATCACTCCCATCAAGAAAGGTTTCATCATAGGGTAAAGATGATCAGTCAGGATAACTTTCTACTGATTTTCAGTGACTCTTTCCTCTAGGGACAAATGGCAGTTAAAGAGCAAAATAACACAGCCTCTAGTTTTCCCTTAAATTTGTCACCCATCTATATATTTATTTGTCTTCTAGTCCTCTCTGTAATTTAAAACACAGATAATCCAAAAAACTTCAACCTGTCATCTTCTATCTTTCCATCTCTTTCTCTCTAGTTCTCTCTCTCTCTCTCTCTCTCTCTCTTTGTCTGTATGTGCATTATTGTGTGCTATTGCATTGTGCATTGGGAACAACATTAAGTATGAGTCTGATCTTTTTCCTATGCCTTCCCTTTCTCTCCTTTAAGGTGTATGAGGTGAGTGATTTTCCCAATCCCCAGCATTCCCATACAATCAGAAAAAGCTTTTTTTTTTTTCCTGACCCTTCCTTCTCTGATGAGTCCTTACCATTCAACACCAGTGACTCATACTCTAATGGCATTTGAAAAAGCAGATTTATTTTTTGTATCAAAATCGGTTAAGATCAATTAAATCAAAGCTCAAATATGTTAAGACATCTGCACATCCACCAGGTCATTTAGATAATGCTTTCACAGTAAATGAAACTATTATTTAACATCGTTTATCATGTGAGTTTGTGGTGTTTCTGTTTATCATATTTTAACTCGCATTCACAGCATTCTCTAATATGGATGTTATATTAGATATGATAATGTATTATGTGGACATAATATTAGATGACCATTGACTGTCGCCATTTACAGTTTACGACAGCTGCTGTAGTTGATTCTGCCTTGTGAGGAGACTCTGTAACATGCTTATAAAGTCTTAGTGTTGAATATTGAAATTTGGATCTGAAACGCTGCCTTTCATTTCTTATGCACAAGGACATTTATCCTTATTTATCACAATAAGTAGACATGCTTACTCATTCCATGAGTTTTTTTTGTGCTTCATCGTTTGCTTTGCGCGTCTTCGTTTACTTGTTCTATATCAGTTGTTATATCAGTGACTACACTAAGCAGGAGTCATGCATTAACATATATTGTTCTCCTTTCTGTTTCTGCAGTTGAGAAGTTCCTTTAATAGGGCTTTCTATAAAAAGGGCTCCAAGTCGTACTCGGATATTGAGGAAATTACCACCCCAGAGTCCTCAACTCCATCCTCCCCTAAAATCCATCACGATGTGGAAAAAACACCATTCTCTCTAAATGAGCCCACTTCTGCCTCCTCCTCTGAGTAAGAGACAATTTCTCGAGATTATTAGCCATAATTGAGTTTTAACAATTCAGAAAACATTTTTATCTGACCTCATTTAGCAATGTTGAGCACATTTACAAACACCAGCAAAGGTTTAAAGAAAACGTGTTTTTACCTCAGACTGGGCAACAACAGTGAGGGCACAGAAACCGATGAGAAGGTGGTGTCTGAGCTGCGCTCTGAACTCTGGGAAAAGGAACGCAAACTTACAGATATTCGGCTGGAGGCCCTTAGTTCTGCTCACCAGCTGGAGCAGCTACAGGAAGCCATGAGCAAGATGCAGGTGTGTGAAGAAAGTCAGAGTGCACCAAACCCCCCAAGCCCCCCCCCCATGTAATACGCTAGTAAATAAGAAACAGCAATGGATGTTGCATAACAGAAGAGATTAAGTATCTCTAAATGTCTTCTCATATAGATGACTGTAGAAAATTTGAAGGCAGAAAATGACCAGCTGAAGACGGGTGTCTCCAGACCTCCAAGCTCCACTTCCCAGTCCTCCGGGCTGGGCTCACTGGGCACCTTGTCACCACGGCAATCTGTGGCATCTCTTAGCAAAACCTTCAGCATGGGAGCAACTGAAAGCTTAAACACAGGTAAAGTGAAACATACAGTATGTGCACATCATGTTAGATTTTAGCAGCTATAACACAGGGCAGAAGATACTTTATATGTGTCTCAGCTGGATATGGCTTTCTAATCTAAAGATGAATCCTGAGTGGTGCAGCAGGTAGTATGCTGCCTCACAACTCCAGGATCCCAGGTTCGATCCTGAGCTTGGGTTATAGTCTGTGTGGAGTTTTGCATGTTCTTCCCATGTCTGTGTGAGTTTCCTTTGGTTTCACTGTTTTCCTCCCTCCTCCCACCTCCCAAAAAACACACCAGTAGGTGGATTGCCTGCACTAAATTGCCCTTGATGTGAATGAGGGTGTGGAGGTGCGTGTGCATGGCGTATCCCATCCAAGTTGTATTTGCACCTCATGCCCCGTGTTCCCTAATAGGCTCCAGACTCACCACAACCCTGACCAGCGCTTAATGAAGATAAATGAAATGAGTGAATGATTATTGTTGTTATAGAAGATCTCTTGTTAGGATGCAAATAAATAGAACATGTATTTTTTAGACGGTCACTATAATACATGGACACAAAGCAATTAAATGCAATCCAGTTATATTATTCACAGAAAGTTTTTAATTTTTGGAAATTAATGGCTGCTGTTTTGTTTTGTGGCAGATGTATTTCAAAGTCCTACCTCGACCCTGCAGAAGGATGAGAGCATTGTCAGAGTGCTAGTGCGCATATCCAACCAGCAAGTCATTAATGAGGTATGGCTCACTACTACAGTACCTTAGATTTTATATATTCTCTTTCCAGTCACAATGTACAATGATCTACATGAATTATCTACAAAGTTTACACCACTAACCTTTTCACACAGGAGGTTAAACAACTGGAATTCTTCATTGGCCTGGTCAAACTCAGTGGGCAGACCGACTGGTCCACGCTTGACTCTGCCATCTGCCAAGCTTTTAAAGTGAGTTGCAGGGCTACATCAACCACTGTTGTAAAGTATTCGTTATCCTCAATATGCAGCCTGGTTAACATATTGGTTAACACTAACATATACCTTTTGTGTTATAAAGATATGCCGATAACAACATTAGGATTATACAAAAATTATAATGTAATTTTGCTGTTTAAGTTTGAAAAAATACCGTAATCTCCTCTCCATCTTCAACTCCTTCCTTATGTCCATCCAGGACTACTTATCAGTAGTGGACCCGAGCTCCAGCCTGGGCCTGTCTCAGGACTCCATCTACAGCTACAGCCTCAGTCATCTGAAGAGGGTGCTAGGGGCTCAGCCACCCGAGACTCCACCAGTACGCTGCCTTAGCAAGAGTTCCACCTGCATCAACGTGGCTCTCAAAGGTTAGTGGGCAAAGACAGGTTAAGTGGGTTACAGTGATTTTTCTTTTACATTGATAGTACCATTACCTACGATCTCACCCATATTCTAAGGCTGCTTTCACACATATTAGTATGGTTCCTGAGTCCCAATCAGAGTGAAATTGATAACTTCTGGTTCGTTTGCTATTTGATTTGATTTGTTTTCTCACTGCACATAATAAAACAAACCAAAAAGTGAAAAAAAAAACCTGGGCTGAGGAGCATACAGGGCTGAAAATGTATGTGTAAAACTCCTTCATTCATTAGTCAGAAATGTGACAAAGGAAAAAGTAATCAAACCTCTGCCAAGTGCACGTAGAAATCATAAAAATCACCTGAGCATGGAGAACACAGAGCCGCACTCAATATATTACAAGATAATTATAGAAACTAGTTCATAACATTTTGTGTCTCACAGCCACTATTTATTTTGTCTTATTGTTCATCAGTCCCGATGCCATGTCACATCACATTTCCGTTGAATCGTTTACTCATTACTGATCAAACTGCAATAGAGTTTGATTGGACCCGTACCGAGACCACCTCTAGGTGAAGTCTCCACACCGGTGGAGTCTCACACTGGTTATTTTGGTCCACACCTGAGTGATTGCTGTGTCCTCACCTGCACAAATGAATCACACCAAAGAGGAAAACACACCAGGGTTTGATTCAAGTAGACTAAACACTGCATATGTGAGAACATCCTAGGTCTCAATAAACACTAGAAGCTCTAAGAGCTTCACATTATGTTATAACTCAGTAATCTTGGAGACAAAGCACATTCTGAGATTTATACTCTCTGTAACTCTAATTACAGAGAATTAGGAGGACAAGCACCGAAAGTTGTTATTCTACCTTATTGTTATTCTACCTTTTCTTCTTCTTCTTCAGGCTAGGGTGTCTGTGGCAGCCCACAGAACCGTCTGGTAAAAAGTTGTAAAATTTGGCACACTGGGGAGGGTCTAAGGAACGTTCTGAACAAACTTGGGCCAATTTTGCTGCCAATGCTGTAGCACCACCATTGGGTCAAAGTTGGAAGTACGTTTATGGTCATAATATTTGAACTGTGTGTCCAAAATTTAACTTAATTATCGAAGCCGCCAAACAGGAAGTGAGGCTGTATCTCGGCAACTACCTTGAACACTGGCACAAACCTTGGTAGGCATCTTCAGGACCATGCCCTGAGGCTATGCAACAAACTTTGTGACAGCACCACTTACTGTCAACACTGACAATAAAATGCCGAAAACGCTTCCATGTAAGTGCCATTTTTGCTGCTCCTCCTCCAAATTTTGTATTCAGCAAACTTGGCTCACATCATCTTGAGACCTGTCTAAACAGAAGTTATCAAGATTGCTTAGGCAACAGTTGTAGCGCGTCTGTGAATGTTGCTTGAATGTTGTGAATGTTGAAAATGCTTTAATTAAATGCTAAAAGGTCTTTCTCAAGCAAGGGGGGAAAATAAAATATTTTTGATTTCTTCTTCAAGGCGCACACACCGAAAGCTCTTCACAGGAAGTTTGTGCGGATCTTCACCAGAAAAAAAAACTTCCTCCAAGATTAAATTAGTGGTTATTTTCAGAGCAGACTGCAGTCATGGCAATTTATAGAGAGCATGTGAGGCTGCAATTGAGATAAACATCAGATAGATAAACTCATTCACTCACTCTGTGGGCACTCAGCTGTTTTGTGTCACCAGTGTCTTTCTGTTGTTAGTGCTTCAAAGTGAAAGTTTAGATTTATTTTCCTGAGGTGTAAAGATTCTAGAGGATTTCCTTTATTATCACAGCATTAGAACCAACTAAAATTGTACAAATTAGGTGCAAATTAATTATGTACTGCTCATTTACCAGGCTGCTTTAATTAGTTAGAGGCCAGAGACCTATATCTTTCCCTAGTTATCTCTTCAAGTGTGTCTAAGTTGTAACATTCCCCAATCCCATTACACACGCATCTCTATCTCCACTGTACATACGCAGGTCTGAAGGAGAAGTGTGTGGACAATGTGGTGTTTGAGACACTTGTCCCAAAGCCTATGATACAGCACTACATTAGTCTGCTGCTGAAGCACCGGCGCTTGATCCTGTCAGGGCCCAGCGGCACAGGGAAGACTTACCTCTCCTCCCGCCTCGCTGAGTACCTGGTGGAGCGCAGTGCCCGAGAGATCACCCCTGCCATCGCAGTCTCTTTCAACATGCACCGTCAAACCTGCAAGGTAAACTGCACTGATCAGATAGACTGCGGTCTGGATTCCCAAAGGTGTTTATTACAAGGGCTGTAAAAGTATTTTTAATGTCATTTTTATGTCACGTTGAACACTGGCCATGAATAAATAATCGAGGTTTTGAATGTTTTGTTTTTGTTTGTTCAACATTGTATTAAATATGACACAGCTACAGGGTTCCCATGCATCCTAGAAAGTGTAATGCTGAGCTGCTAAGACACAGATGCATATATTAGCATATTCTCTCTTACTTCCTCCATTGTCGGCTACTAATTTAACTCTCTGTCAAGATCACACCAGTCTGTTTCATCTATAAAAGCAAGTCTAAAACCAATGAACTTTGAGTTTGAAAAACATAGGATTTGCAGCTTACCAAATAAGTGGATGTGCATATATTTATATATGTTCAAAATATATTAAAACGAGGGTGAGTCAAATGACAAACTTAATTTTATTTATTTTGCATTTATTGTACTTCTTAATTTGAGTTCTCTTTTTTTTATTTCCAGGATCTCCAACTTTACCTGTCTAATCTGGCGAATCAGATTGACCGGGAGACTAGTACATCTGAGATCCCACTGGTTGTTGTGCTTGACGATGTACATGATGCTGCATCCATCAGTGAATTAGTTAATGGTGCTTTAACATGTAAATATCACAAATGGTGAGTGAATGGCATAGTTTACTCCATCTTTTTTATTTATTTATTTTTTTTACATTTTTTAAAGACAAGGAAATAATAATATTTATAATATCCACTTCTTAGTCCATACATTATAGGGACCACAAATCAACCAGTGAAGATGACCCCCAACCACAGCCTGCACCTTAGCTTCAGGTGGGTGTCGATGCTGGATCATATCTGATCAAATTATAGAAACAGAAGGCAAATAACTGGAAACCTAAAGACACTGTTCGGATTTTGTTTGTGTGAATTCTGATTTTTCTGTTTATAATAAACTTAAAGCGGTTAATCATCAGAAGGAATAATGGTGCTAATAACAAATGAAGCTAATGGGGAAGAATTGGTGAACACTGCTTATCATTCTGTATTGGCTTTTTTTTTTTTTTTTTATGGTTAGCCAAGGTAGCATTATTGTCAAGGTCGTCCTCCAAAGTTTCTCTTCCCTTTGACTTTGAAGGATGGTTATGTTCTCCAATAACGTGGAGCCAGCCAATGGCTTCCTGGTGCGCTACCTGCACAGGAAGCTAATGGAAGCAGAGGACCCCAGAAGCTTGACGAATGAGGATCTCCTGCGGGTGTTAGATTGGGTGCCCAAGCTCTGGTACCACCTCCACACTTTCCTGGAGAAGCACAGCACCTCTGACTTCCTCATTGGTAAGACTTTTAGTGATTACAAACCACTTTTAATCACTCAGTAATACAGAAGCTTTTCAACAGGAATAGCTTTTGAAAAATCAGGCGAGTAATTTCTATTTTAACATGAATGCTAAAGAATTATAGAATAAAAGCAGTATTTTATGCATCCTAGAAGCCTGTTGCTAGTAGGCTAGCACTTTAAGACCATCAACTTAAAAGACAATGAATTTAAAACTTGGCTTTGCTTGTTCCATTTCACACAGTAACGTTTGACATTTGACTATACAATAC